GCTCCGGGAGAGGCAGAGAGGGAGGGCGGCTGGGTCAGCACAGGCTGGGACAGGGAACCTGCAAACACAGACACTAATGAATGGTGAGGTAGGCACCAGCAGGATGATTGTCAATGGTCTCAGCCAAAAGACAGTGAGCCAGACTGGGAGCTGCCCTGGGTCCCCAAGGCCTCTCCCTACCTGTGCACTGAGACAGGAGCATGAGGAGGAGAGGTGTCCAGGTCATGGTGGGCACAGTTCCTGTTCCCCACATGGCTGGGCTGCCCCAGGCCTCTTCTTTTCACCCTCTGCCACAGGAGGGGCTCTTCATGCAAATGTGTGTCCATCCAGTGACTGCCCAGCCCCTCGTCCAGCCCTGGGCAGGGCTCAGCTCACACTGCAGACTGAGGGGGAGGGAGGTTGGCCCCACCCCTTGAGGAGCCCTGGGAGGAAGCACCTGCTGGGACAGCACAGAGGCCTTGCTCAGGGGACTCTGCCAGTCAGAGAGGTCACAGCTGCTCGGTCCCCATCAGGGAACACAGGGCCAGCCCAGGCCCAGCTCTTTTGATAAAGGTCCTCCAGGAACAGCTGTGTGGGGAGCACAGGGCAGCCCCACACCACCCCCTGCTGGTTGCAGTCAGATAGGTCTCCGTGGCCCAGAGACCTTAGAGCCCCGCTGGTCTCCGCAGCTCCCCGGATGCCATCTGTCCACACATCCAGGGCTGACTCCTGTTAGCTGGGTTCGGTGTGCTGGGTACACTTCCTGTACCTTCTCACTCCTAGAGGAGTCCGGGTCATTGGGAGTTGCAAACGTGGACATGAGCAATAACCCAGATGCCACCTCATCATAGAAGATGCTAGAAAAGCTAACTGACACTCTGTTTCTGACCAAACATCACAGAGGAGAGGGCAGGAGGACTGCTTTGAAGAACATGAAGGGGCTGCTCAGGGAGAACAGAGCCAGTGTCAAAGATGACGCTGTGTGAACAGGGGTGTGGGCATCCTGGACTGTGATGAGACACCCCATGGCGTGGAGTCTGCTGTGAGCAGGAGGGGTGGGGAGGCAGATCGCCTGGTCAGCAAATGACCCACTGCCCCTGCACCCCAGTTTTCTGGTCTCTCTGGGCAGGGACCTGGGTCATGCTATAGACTTTTCTGCAGTTGTTTTTCTCAGGTCCCAGAGTGGGAGCAGGTGGCAGTCCAGGGACTCCACATGGGGAGGGAAAGGCTGGGGAGGGAGGGAGGGCTCCTCTCTGAGCTGCACGCCTGCAGCACACAGCACACAGCGCTCTCTCCTGGCCTGTGGATTATGAAGAACCAGGGACCACAGTGTGGACTGGGGACCCCTGAGCTCCAGTCCTCTCACACGGGTATGCTCCCTCCTTCTGTCTGTCCCTCCCTCCCTGCCTTCATCTATCCAGTCCCACCTTTTTTACTTCTCTCATTAAATTCCTTCTTTATTCATCTGCCCATGCATTTCATCATATCCAAGAAATTATGTCCACATCCATTGTAGGGACACTTTTCTCTCTCTCTCTCTCTCTTTTTTTTTAGAGGTTTTTGCTATAGGGCGCGTGTGCTCGCCAGACAGAGAGAGAGACAGAGAGATAGAAAGCAATAAATCACCCCCCAGGGGGGATGGTCACGCCGCAATCCCTTCTCCTCCATTCTCCTCTCGGGATCTTGGGCACGCACGCACATGCACCCGGGGTGAGTTTTAAGCCACCGGGTCTGGGACGCGAACCACAGTCGACTACATGGGAGACCAGCGACATAGCCATTACACTAACTGCTGGTCCCGGGACACTTTTCTCTTCAGCTCTTCTATGTCTGCCCTGGCTCTATTTTGCATTAGCAAGTGAATGTCCAGTTCCCACAACAGCGTTTGTTGAAAAACAGTCCTTCCCCATTGACGGTCGTGGCCTGCGTGTGGAAGACAGCACGGCCGTGTTTGTCAACCCAGGGGTGATCCCTGGGCTCTCTGTTCCACTCCACTTTCCCACACATACGTCTGTGGACCTGTCAGCACTACTCTGCTTTATTGTTTCAATGCTATTTATTTTCCTTTGTTACTGCCTGAGGCAGGTGTGCTCACCAGAGGGGGGAAAGAAAAGAGTGCATCCCTGGTCAGGAGAGGTCACACCGCTAACTTTTTTCTTGCATTCCTTTTCTGGCCAGGATTTCAAGCTGGTAGGGCTGGGTTTTGAACTGAGGTGGGAATCGCAGTCAGCCATGTGGGACCGGGATCTCTTAACCACCAGGTCACAGGGCTGGCCCATGGCTACATTAGTAGTTTAAACTGTACGAGGTTATCATGTCCCCAATTTAGTTTATTTCCTAGCATTTTATTATTTTAATAGCATAAAGAACATGATTTCATTCATTTTATTTGTGGTTTATTATTCAATTATCCCAAATTGACATCTTTTTTTCTGAGTTAATTTTATATTTTGAAACTGCTAAATTCATTTCATAGCTCTTAAAATATTTGGAGAAATTTTTAAAGGTGTATCTACCTAGAAGGTCACAGGCTTGGAAAGCAGAGGCCCTCCTATTACGTTCCTTCTAATTCCTCTTCCTTTTATTTCTGTGTGACCTGATTGCTCTGTTAGCCCCTCCGACCCTGAGCTGAGTGGACGTGGGGAGATCAAGCGCTCTTCCTGTCCCGGTATTAGAGAACCCTCCAAGGTGGACCTCCCCGCCCTCCACACTCTCCATTTTCACTCTCCCGAAACACGTGTTATTCTTATTACTATTGTTATTTATGTCCCCTGTGTTCCTTCAGATGATGACAGCTCCCTGAGGAAGGGGCCCTTCCTGCCTTGTCCCCACTGTGTCCTGAGCCCCACAGTAACCACTGGAGCCAGGTTCACAGTAGAAGCTCAGTAAAGGATGTGGACAGAGACCCTCCAGTCTGCTCTCCCAGGTCAGACCCATCAGTGCTCTGCTTCCTTGTTCTTTCCTGGTCCCAGTTAGGACTGACCACATTTATGTGTAAAGCCTAGCCCCCAATGTGTCCATATTTGGAAGTTGTACATCTGTGGAGGTCATTAGAGTTAATTAGGTCCTATTGGTGGGGTCCTAATTATCAAGGATGGGTGTCATTATAAGAAATCTGGACACAAACCACACAATGCCCAGGGGTCACTATGTGGGGGAACACAGCCAGAGATGGTGACCTACAGGCCATAGAGAGAGGACTTAGAAAGACCCAGCCTGCTGATGAGTGGATCAGGACTTCCAGCCTCTAGACTTGAGAGGAAATAAAGATGTCTGGGTGACACCCAGCCTGGGGCCTGTGCTGTGCAGGCCTCAGCAGACTAACATGCCCCTGGGTTCTGCTCAGGATCACCTTCCCCTGACCCCTGGACTGTCTTATGAATTCAAGAAAAATACTCAGTGTGTCATTACCAAAGACCAGAATTGGAGGCAGGATTGGAGAGGGTGAGGACAGGTACTCTACACAGATGTCACTGGACAGGAACTCAGACCTAGATTTTAGACCAAACAAACAAAGGAACTCTGACTTGGTCCTGGTGGGTGCTGAGCAGAGAAGCCCCAGGGTTGAAGATAGCAGGTTCTTGTCTCACTTCCCCTCTGGCTTGGAGCACTGTGTGAGCTCTGAGGTCACTGTCCCAGGACTGACAGTAATAGTCAGCCTCATCCTCAGCCTGGAGCCCTGAGATAGTCAAGGAGGCTGAGGTTCCAGACTTGGAACCAGAGAATCGGTGAAGGCTCCCTGAGGGTCGAATGCTATTACTATAGATGAGGAGTCTGGGGGCTGTCCCTGGGAGCTTTTGGTACCACTGCACACCATAGTCTTTCCCGATGTTGTTACTGCTTCCAGTGCAGGAGAGGGTGACGCTCTGGCCCAGGGCCTCAGACACTGAGGGTGGCTGAGTCAGCCCAGACTGGGCCCAGGACCCTGGAGGTGGGAGAGAAACAGAGAGGGTGATTCTGGGTCTAGAGACAAAAGGAGAAAGCAGGGCTCATGATCTTCCCAGGACTTTCCCATGCAGGGCCCACCTGGCCCTGGGTCAGGCCCCTCTGCCTGAGGATGGCAGGGGCAGCAGGGGTGGGGCTGTGTGGGCTCAGGTGTGGATGGTCCCATCTGTGAGCCCTTCCCAGAGGGCAGAGGCAGGGCCAGGTGGTGGCTCCCAGCTCTGACCTCTTTGTAAATCTTTCATGACCTGGGCCTGGGTGTCCCTGGTGTCCCAGCACAGACACAGCATCCTGCGACCTGGTGACCTAACTCCCTGAGAGACAGCGCTGCCTCCCTCTGCCCTGTCAGTAATCAAGGCCCAGGTGAGACTGCTCTGTGGGAGCTGAGAGGACCAACCACATGGGGGTGAAGGAAACAATGTCATTCTACTTGAAGGTGTCTGACACTGTTTTGCTTAAAATGAGAAAAAAAGCATTAATCTCTGATCTGAAAGTTTATGCAATATGAATTTTTGTCAAAAATATCAAGTTTTAAAATACATAACTTTTACTAAAAGTGCCAAAATGGGGACCAGCAGTTAGCGTAACGGCTATGTCACTGGACTCCCACATAGTCGACCGCAGTTCGTATCCTGGACCCGGTGGTTTAAACTCACGCTGGGCGCGTGTGCATGCATGCCCAAGATCCCGAGAGGAGAATGGAGGAGAAGGGATTGGGGTGTGGCCATCCCCCCTGGGGGGTGATTTCTCGCTTTCTGTCTCCCTGTCTCCCTGTCTCTCTCTGTCTGGTGAGCGCACGTGCCCTATAGCAAAAGCCTCTAAAAAAAAAAAAGTGCCAAAATGAAGAACGTGTGTGGCACAGTGGAAGTCTCTGCCCTCAGCGTTACCCTAGTTTTCACGAGGTTAGAAGGGCTTAGAGAACAGTAGGGCCGTCAATATGGCCTCTGTATGAGTAAGTGTGTGAACGTGGGATTCTGCCACTTGACAGTCTAAATGCACTAACATTTTCAACAGATTTCTGTCCTATAAACTAGTCACCTATTTAAAATTTGCCTCCGTGTTTATGTGAAAGAGAACCTACGGTGCATTTTCATTTTTCATTCATACTCATTACCAATTTGAAATGATCTTTAATTCATGTTCATTATGAGTTGCAATTGTTTTTTTTGAGAGGTTTTCACTACAGGGCGCGTGGCTTGCCAGACAGACAGAGAGAGACAGAAAGCGAGAAATCACCCCCCAGAGGGGATGGCC